GATTTATTAAGTACATTATAATACATTGCTGTAAGTTAATTTTGAGGGGTTCGGTAGCAAATGTGAAATAATACTGTTTACAAGTTCACTTTTAATGTATTACTCAGTCACCTAAATGTGTAAAAGTGTTGGTGGGCCAAGAGTGTCAAGAAAAGTGCAATTTGATACCTTCCGAAGATAATTCTAACTGGTCCTGCTAATAGATCATAGAGGGAAGAAACTCAAATGGTACTACACAGCTACAAAGCACTTTATGGACAGGTATAGTATGCTATTCTTATTCCCATTTTCATAGATGAGGAAAATGAGGTTTGGAAAGGTTAAATTTGAGGGCAAGATAGAACTCAAAAGCAAGCTTTTTTGACTAAAAATCCATAGCCATTTTTACTAAATCACATAAAAGTATAAAGCGACAAAGCAAATTAGTAAAAAGAGGCAGAAAGGAAAAAAAAACTGTGTGACTCTACGATCTACTCTACCAAAATATACTGAGTTCAATTAAATTCAACATTTAGTAAGTAGTAGGGTAGGATCTGGAATTTTGATTTAATTGATATAATGAACTCCTAGGTGAAGGAATTCCTACTCTCAATGCTGGTCAGTATCTTGGATGGAACTCGTAGTCTCAGAAAGTGGCCTAAAACACTTAGAATTCAAGGGAATTTTTTAGGGACACATGGCAAGTATGTGTCAAAGTCGAGAGATACAAAGACAAAATCCAAGTGGTCCCAGGCTGGAGAAGTAAAGAACATTAGCAGCCAAGGGGCATCAGTGAAAACCATTCAAAAGAGACTTGAATTGAACCTTGAAAGAAGTCAAGAAGTCTGAAAGATAGAAATGAACAAGTGCATTCTAGGCATGGGAGAATTCAGAGATGGGTTGTAGCATGAGGAGTTTGCAGCAGTTTTCTGGTTTGGGTAAGAGGTAAAATAGCAAGGAAGGAGAGAAATTACATATAAAACTGAGAAGATTGAGGTGAGTCTTAAATAGCAGACTAAGTAATTTATATTTTATCCTAAAGGGAATGGGACTCTGGAGGTTTCTGAGCAGGAGAGTGGCACAGATGCCTTAAAATTACCTTTTACCTTAAAACTACCATTTAAAAAGCCCATGTAAAGCAAAGGATTACATGACTTACAAGGCCTCACGTGTTTCAAGGGCTGTCTCCCACATATACAGTCTGACTCAAACGGAGGTAGAATAAACATCTCTAGCCTCTTCTCCCCTCCACTAACCCTTCTCCAAATGAGACTATTTCTTTCTAGAAGGGGAAGCAGGAATTTGGTGCCACAGACCATTCCTGCTGTCCTCAGAGAGTGTGGGGGTACCAGGCTAGAATTATATCTATCTACTCCCTTAAATATTGTTAGCTTAGGGGATGTGATCTAGTTCAAGCTAATTTCTGATCACTATTTCATTACTGAAGTGGAAAGGAGGACCCCAAGCTCTATATCTAAGGCTTGACCTTTTCCCACCAAATATCAGTTCCACAATAAACATATATAACACTCAGCCAAGACAAAAAAAATTTATCCAAATTGGTAGGAAAATAGAAATCAGAGAAGATATACAACTGAGAATATATAATAGACAATACAGGTTGTAGGAGCTTCTCAGTAGGATAGGAAACAATGGAGACTGCCAGTTCTTCTCATATCTTCCAGGAGTCTTTTCCTTTAGTAACATGAATAGAGGTTGGTATCATCCACATTCTCTCAAAGCTGGAAGCCAGAAGCAACCAAAACAATTCAACACCTGAAGAGAACTGAGTCTCAGCAACTCCTCCCCACCCTTCACCCAGGCTAGGAACACTGATCTTCACCAATAAGGAAAGAGTCCCATCTCCATTGACTTTGAAACTGGAGCTATACATAGAATCACAGATTTACCACTGGAAGGGATCTCAGAGCTCATTTAGTCCAGTCTTCTCATTTTATAGGGGAAGAAACAGATTCAGGGAGAATAAATTACTTACCTAAGGTTACACAGGGAATAACTACCAGAGACAGGATTTGAATCCTGACTCTTGAGACAGCAGACTTTCTACTGTAACATACTACCTCCCTAAGATTAGAGAGAGCAGAATCTGGTGGCAGGAAGAATAATCAGGAAATTGTTAAAACAGTCCAGATAAGAGAAATTAAGCATTTAGGTAGTACAGTGAGTAGACTGCTGGACCTGGAACCAGGAGGACCTCAGACAGTAGCTGTGTGATGCTTAGCAACTTCACTTAACATCTTTCTGCTTTGGTTTCCTCATCTGTAAAATGGGGACAATGATAGCACCTACCTCTCAGGGTTATTATAAAAATAAAATTAGTTGATAATTTTTAGAGGCTTTGGAAACTTTAAAGCACTATATAAGTACTAGTAGTATCATTATTGGGCAGCTATGTGGACACAGTGGATCATGCACTAGGCCTGGAGTCAGGAAGACCTGAGTTCAAATTTGGCCTCACACTGAGTTCAAATCTAAGCCGCATTTATCTAACTAGCTATGTGACCCTGGTTAAGCCAATTAACCTTGTTGTCTTAGTTTCCTCATCTGTAAAATCAACAAGACAATCATCAAAACTACTTGGTAGTGGAAGAAACTAGGCATAAGCCAACATCTTACACCATATACCAACATAAAGTCAAAATGGATATACGATTTAGAAGGGTGATGCCATAAACAAATTAGGAGAGGTGTCAACAGGAAACTGAGTGTAGCTAGATACCCAACAGACAGTTGGAAATACAGGATTAGAATTCAGGTTAACTCAGTTGCTTCTATGATTTTACTGATTACCTGTGGGCAATTGATACCCAAATCTAAATACCTAGCCCTATTCATTCCCCTGAGTTCTAATCCTGTATTGCCAACTATTGATTGGTGAAACGTAAACTAAAACAACTCTGAGCTACCACATCACACCTATCAAATTGGCTAACACAATAAAACAGGAAAATGGTAAATGTTGGAGAAGATGTGGGAAAATTGGAACTCTAATGTATTGTTGATGGAGTTGTGAACTGACCAACCACTCTAGAGAGCTCAAAGGGCTATAAAATGATGCATACCTTATGACCCAGCAATACCACTTCTAGGTCTGTATCCCAAAGAGATCATAAAAATGGGAAAGTGTAGAGGATGAAGAAAAGAAAGACCAAGTCTGAGGCTTGGGGGACACCCATGCCCATGCTTAGGAAGAACAAGAAAAATATGAGGAAGCAGTAAAGGAGACTAAGAAAGAATTGTCAGACAGATGGGACAAGAACCAGAAGAGAGCAATGTCATAAGTAAGGAAGGGCGAAGTGGGAGAAGCAAGTCTATAGAGGAGTATAGAGTGATCAACAAAATCAAGTGCCAAGACACATTCAAAGAGAAATAGCTGGTGGGTTTAGCAGTTAAGAAATCATTGATAACCTTTGAAAAAGCAAATTCAGTAAAGTGATAGAAATAGAATCCAGACTGCAAAGGATTTAGGAGTGAGAGGATGGTGAGAAAGGGAAGGCTGGATGTATAGAGGACTCTTTCTCCAGGAGTTCAGGAGTGAAAGAGAACAGAAACTGACTTAGGACAACAGTTCAAAGGGCTGGAATGATTTTTAAGGATAGGTAAGACCTCAGCATATTGGTCAGCTGCAGGAAAGGAGCCAGTAATTAGCAAGCGATGGAAGAAGAATGGGAGAGAAAGATTAGTAAGGCTAACTCTGGAAGGACATGGTGAGAATCAACAACCCAACTGAGTGAATGAGGTTTAGCTTGTCATGGAAAAGGACTGTCTCAATTTGTCTGAACCTAAATTTTCTCCTCCATGAAATGGAGACAATATTATTGATAAGAAGGAGCCTGCAGAAAGTAAGCTTACATCCCAATATTTGATTACAAAAAGCAGTTATTTTATTCATGTAGGCAAGGATTCCCAGAACATTGACTACAAAAGATTGATAGCAGGTTAAGATCTGCAACAGAACCATTGCTACCTGTCTGCCAGAGAAGATGAATAAAAGGGAGAATGTAACTCCTAGCTCCCCTTATCCTTCAGTGCCTGGAACAGAGTTGTGTGGTTTGTCCTTTGTTCTGGAAGAGGCCCGTGACATCAGGGAGATGATGACATGACTTGCAATTGACTTTGATTTGAGTGAGGGAGGGCTGTGCAAAGTCACCAGCCTCATGTTCTCCTCCACAGCCATTTGGGTCTAGTGGCCAGATATTGATCATGACGACTGGAGATGGCCCAGGATACAGTGGGAGACATTGGCCTTTTTAAGCTAAGGTCTTTAATGCTTGTTGATTTCCCCAAACCTTGGTCATATGTTCCAAGTCGTGGGGGGGGGGGGGCAGGACAATAGAAGATAGTAGGGAGGGTCAATTTCCTCTAATATTCCCTTCCCTCTCATATTTCTGACCCTTCCCATTTCATATCAGAAGGCTTTCCCTTGGTTCTTCTAGATATTTGAATGAAACACAATTGCTCCTGGCCTATTTGAGATGACAGTTTATGGACATAGGCATTGTTCCAAAATAGCTGTGATTCTGAGAATTATATATGCTTTCTTATCCCCTGACCCCACACCCACACCCACACACTGTTCCTGCCTTTCCTCTGAGATTATCTATCTATCTGTCTATCTATCTATCTATCTATCTATCTATCTATGGTGCATATGTATATATGAGTTACATATGTATATGTATACCATGATGTACGTGCAAGATACAGATATTTCAGCGAGCTCCTTGAGAACAGGGACCTTGTTTTTGCCTTTCTTTGTGTCTCTGTGCTTAGGATAGGCCCTGGCATATAATAAATGATTAATAAATGCTTGTTGACTTGTGGTCTTGACTGGTCCTCATTGTCTGCACAGCTCCTATCTTAACAGTCATTGCATGGTCTGGTCCATGGTCTATAAAGAAAGGCTTAGTCATGGCAGGATAATGAACTGTGATGTCATAAGAAAGGTCTGTTGAGTGACACACAAGAACCTAACAGCAGAAAAGGATGGTACAGAAAGGGGTGTAGTAGTGAAGGGGAAAGGCCTAGCTTAGATATCTCCTTCAGCTCTGTGACTGCACAGGGTTGTGCTTGTTTATAGGGACTACAATTCATGCCCAACAGTGTAACCATAAGGCAGGGTGTAAGGTTGGAAAGCACTGCACAATCTCATCTGTGGAGCAAGACCTCAAGCCCACAAGGTTTGCAGATATAATTAGAGGAGCCTCTCCCCTACTCTGGGCTTGGGGCAGCAGCCTAAATCCTGCTTGGCTTCAATCACAAGACAAATACAGAAGCATTTTACCCTCAGGGAAGAAGAGAACCTTAGACCCCTGGCCTTAGCTAGCACCTTGTCAGTGAAAGAAGTTTGGCCTTTGATTCACTAAATAAGGGCACTTGCAGGAACAAAGAGGAAGGTCAGAAAACCAAGACTAGAAATGAAAGACAAAGGTCAGAAAAGAGAATGATCACATGAGAGGCGAAGGCGGAGCTACTAGGCAGCGTTAGTATCTAGGCAGGAAGAAATCAGAGGAAACTGCCCTGAGGAGAGAGACTGAGAGAGAAAGAAAGCTGTGCTGTAAGTACAGTAGTAACTAGATGGGGAAACTTTCCAGGGGAATGGAAGGGGTGACTACAAGACTGAAGAATGTCTGGGTTTGGGGGAGGAGGGACAGGAAAAACAAACCAAGCGCTGACAAAAGAGGCTGTACTATTAACAATGAGTGAATCTTTAGTAGAGATTGAGGAAATCAGCTGAAACAAAAACCGAAAGTGGGTAGAGTAGACCAAATTCATTCTGCTGCAGCACCTGCTCAGCCTGTGAAGCCAGTAAAAGTAAGGCAGTACCTGGTGGGAGGGGGTGAGGAGCACTCACTGAATCTGGAGGCTTCTGGCCCCAGGTTCAGATCCCGCTCTGACTTTCTCTGCCCATAGGAATGTGGACAGGCTTTTACCCTCTCTAGTTTCTAAGTCTGTAAAATAAGATAGGTTGGACTGAGTGATTTCAGATATTCCCCTCTAGCTCTAGAACCAAATTAGATATTATGAAAAGAGACTGAGAATTCATTCACTAGTGATGGATGTCACCTAATGAATTATTCAGTGGAATATAAGCTATTGGAGAGAAGGGACTGGGTTTTTTGTTTGTTTTTTAAATGATTTTAATAATTTTAGTGGTAGGTATTTATATAGCATTATAAAACTTTTAAAGTACTGTTATACTTCACAACATGGTGGTAGTTATCAATAGTTATCAATGAATCTAATTCAAAATTTGTTTCTTTTAACTTGACATTGCATTATTAATAATAACCCCAAAATACGTTTTTTATTTTCCTCCAAAAGGTAATCTGCTACATGAAACTCTTTTTAAAAAAATCACAATTGCCTTCAATTTACAAAGGTGTTCCCCAAATGATCAAGGAAAAGTGTTAGCTTTCCTTTAGAGAGTGAAAAATTATCCATTGTCAATGTACCTCACTTGAAATAGCTAGTGATGTTTCATACAGAAATTTGTTTGTATCGTAATCATTTTTGTAATGTCCCTGAACTGTTGGATAATAGGCTTCAAAATATTCTCAGACACTAATTCCAGCAAAAATGTGATACTTAACCTTGGCTAATGGGCACTAAGCAGTCAGAATTGAGCCCAGGAGTTCTATTCCATACTTTAAACAGTTTCTCTATGCAGAGGTAAATGTTGAGAGTTATTTTGAATTCTTATTTACAGCTCTACTTGTAATATACTTATAGGACGCCTTTGAATTTGCACTCTAACCAAATGATTTCTTACTTTAGGTCTTAATACTATGCATTTTTTTTCTTTTTTGTGGGGGAGGAGGGTGTCAGGGCAGACCTGTTATTTCATTGCTATAGCGAATTCTGCTTAAGGAAACTCCCTCTATCAATGGATTTGCGTACCTGCTCTGGAATTTTGACTGTTAGAGAGCTGCCAGAGATAGATAAGAGAGGTTAATTGACTCTTCCAGGGTCACACAGCTAGTATGTGCCAGAGGCAGGACTTAAAACCAAGTCTTCCTGACTCCAAAACCTTCTCTTTGTCTTCCACAACATATTTTCTCCATTTCTTATTGGCCTTTTATAAAAATGTAATATAAGGTGAGGAGAAAGGTAAAATGTATACCCTAAAATCGGACAGGTAGAAATAGCTTGTCATGTATCTCTAGTGCAATGATCATGTCATAACTCTCATTTACAGATAATTTCCTGTGTCAACCTCTCACAGAGTTTGTTCTAAGAAAGAAACAAACTATTAAGTTGTCTGTCTATGTTCTGATTTCTCTCACAAACTGGCTTGACATGCATTGCCAGGGAGTTATAGTCCAGAACTGGCTGGATGTGGGATTTGAAGTGCCCAGTTTATATACCCTTCCAACAGGGGCTGATATCACCCCACCATCTTTAACTCTGGATAGAGGAACCAGACCACTCCCAGCCCTGGGCTATCTAGGCAGAAGAATGTGTCCCCACCCAAGCCTGAGCAGATTAAATCAATTCAGGCCAGGGTTGGAGTTTGACTAGGATTAGACTCAATGCAATCTTACTATCATTAATGTCCTTGTGAAGAACTTTAGAAAAAGGGGGGGGGACTGGGGAGCAAGTTCTGAGAATCATTTTTAACATTCCCCCACCTTATTCTAATGAGAGACATAGCCTTCTCAATGAATCATTATCTGATATGGTCAACACTTCATCAAGGGTTTTGAGGTAACAATATGGAAAGGGGGAAAAGGGGAGAAATTGATCAATGCATTGACAAATCAAAGGAGGCAGTCACCTTAGTAAGTAAGTAAACAATAAAAAAAATTGTCCATTTAAGGCTCAGGAGTCTCATCTTGTACAGCTGTCTGGTTTTCGGGACATCAGTGTGGTTTAAGTGGTCACCAGTAGACTGTCTTCTTAAGACTCCTCGTAGAGATCTTCTTTCTTGTGTCCACTCTCCTACAGAATTGATCTTAACACAATTTTAAATTGCCTTGCCAATAACCAGGTCAAATAATGAAAGTTAGCCCATATGTCTCTATTGTTATAAGTCAAAATAAAAAAATGGGACCTTGGCCAGTTGTCATGTTGATATATCTAAAAAAATTAGAACCCAGTTTATACTTTGCATTAATTCATTATTCATTCCACCATCAGGAGGATGAGATTCCACCAAGGAATTAATAACAGACTCCAATACATACGTAATACATTGAGTAATCAATTTTAAAACAGTGCACATCAAGTAATAAAACAATTCCAACTTCTGGCCATGTTCAAATAAATAACCCTTAATTAAAATGGATATTTCTTAAGGCATTTACAAGATAGACCACAAGCTATTTTTCTTCTAAAATTAACCAATTGTAACAGAAATGAGACAGGTATGATATTAACTAAGTAACAGAATAATATTTTGGTTTCACAAATACTTGTCTTAATTATCCCTATACCATAATGAGGAATTAAAGGACCCTAACTTATACAAGAATATATACTAGTAACAGATGTCAAGGCTAAATACTTAATTAGTTGCTGTTTGGGCTAAAATTCTAAACCAAATAGCTCAATCTTATATTTGCATCTTACTATAATAACTCAGATATTCCCGTTTCAACCTATTATTCAATAGATTTAATGTTGTTTATAAAACATTTTAATTATAGAAAATTACCATAAAAGAATAGAGATATAACTATAGTAAGGGAACAATGTCCATTCCAGGCAAAAGTGATGCAGATGGCCATGTGCATTGAGCCAGGCTTAAAGTGTGCTAGGTGTCATAGTGGGGAAACTGAATCAGGAGAACCTTATCTCAGCTCATGTGAAATACTCATTCTCCCAACTTTTCCTGTGAGAACACCCTCTGCAGTTCATAAACCCCACAGGGTTGCTGGCATCATGGATCAGTGGCTCAGTAGCATTCCTTGATAACCGTACCAGGAGTCAAACTAAAATAATGTCAGTTAATAGTCCCATTAAGGTCTTGAATAACAAGTTAAAATAATCAGAGTTTCCGATATGTGACCATAATCTCACATTGATTGGAAATATCTTTAAGGAGAGTCTTAAGTAGTTTGCACACACATTGCTAGTTCCTGATTAAATCTTTTTGTGCTTAATCCTAAGGATAAGAAGAGCACTCTCAGATGTTCTTATTCCTTCAAAACAGATTTTGACTTAAATCAAATCAAATTTGGATTTATAATTACTAATGGTAAACATTTTAATTTTTTAAAAAGTCCAATACTCTTGGCCCTTTAAATGGAAATATTATTCATAAATTCATATATTCACTTAAAAAAACACATGGTGACAATTTCAAGCTCTAAATACTTTTTCCTCTGTTTCCTTAAAAAAAAAAATTAAGTCATGTCTTCTTTTAGAATTATCAGGTAAAGAGCTTCCCTACAAATTCTGGCTCCCCATTCCATCCTCCTGAGAATTTCAGGCTGATGCATATAAAGTTTTGCAAACAGTTTGAAATCACCTAAAGGTTTTGGCACAGGCAAAAAAGACCTAAGGAATTTGAATTAATTCTGACAGGGTATGGTGAGTTTCCCCATGCAGAAACCTCCAGACCTTCCAGAGTTTAATAATTAATTAAACAGTACAAGTAAACATTTTAAGATTTTATATAATAGTCTCAAATCACAATAACCAATATCATTACCATACCCAATACTTACGTAATGTTAGATTCAACAAGGCCCTCCTACAGATTCATGTCAAAAGGCAGGTGGACATAATTCTTTCTAACCCTCTATAACTTTATCTATTGGTTTTCAAATCAAGAAATTTTCATTTTCAGTCTTTCTACTTAAGACAAAATCAAACTTCCTCACACCCTCTCAACATGCTCAAGCCATCTGAAGCTGGCACAAGGGTACCCAACCCAGGATGGGGCTGGGGAGCACTTAGAGTATGTAGGCTTGCTGTTGCCTAGCCCACCCCCATTTGTCCCCAAACCATTTTTTTCCTCTATCCTTTATATTTTTGTTTGAACCTTTATTTCTCTTTCTTAAACTTTCAAACCCATTGCTCAGACTACCTCCACTTTCCTTTACAAAAATCATACCCTAATTCTGTCCTGATTCTTTGCACCTGTAAGAATCTAGAGAGAGTTAATGCCTAACAATTTACAAATCAAGAGAGCTGTATTTCTCTCACACGCTTCACAAACAGCTTTTATAATGTTAATATAAATCACTGAAATCCTAAAGTGATTGCTTTAAAAAAAATGGAAAAACCCTAATTTTTGCACTTTAAACACATTGCCCTGATATCATGTACATTGGTGGGAGGGGTGCAAAAACAGTTTTCTAGATTTAATTTAAACATAATATATAAACTTTAGCTTTAGGATCTAATTAAACCTAGATTCAAACTCTCAGCTTTCTCTTAGCTCTTTCTGAATTGGGGTGCCTGCTCTAGGTCCTTATCAGTATAAGCTTCTGCTAGTTGATTCTACCTTCTAATTAACTTCTGGGAGAGTCCTACCCTGCTTTTTAAAAAATTCTATTACTTGTTGTGTGACATTATTCTTGTATCCCAACTTGGCCAGTGTTGGGACCC